GGCACCTTTTCCAAACTAGCTTGCTCTCGATTATAGGCCGGTTTCACTGCAGTTAGTGCCAAGGCAGCTACATGCCCGCTATGCGCTGAGCCCGCTCGCGCCGCGTGCAATTGAAAATTGTTGTTGTTGTTGTTGTTATTGTTGTTGTTGTTGTTGTTGTTGTAATATTCACGTTCAGCACGCAGCGGAGAGTCGATCTACCTGGCGAGACGCACGGACTTGCCTTCTATACTCCCAAGTTGGCAGAAGGAATTCATCGAAAACTTGCTGCAGCTGTGTTGCCGAATCTGCTTGCGCCGGACTCGCCGGACCAAGCAACAATTGCAGGCAATGTGCCTCGGCTTCTTCGCAGGCCAATGGGCTGCTTGCTTCACTCGGCCTATGCGCCGTCGGGAAGCATTGAACACTTGCGGGTCAAAGGCGGACAATGAGCGCCTGGCAGAATAAAAAACACTAATGCTTGCACTTTGCAGCTCTCGGCAGCATGCCCAGCCTAAGCACCGCGGCGCTGACGAAGCCGCTTCCGTCGAGGTCAAAGGTGCGTCGGATATCGATGCCAGCCAAGCGGTCCTGCTCCGAGCAGGCTTCTAACTACCAAAGCTCTATACTTTCACCGTGGATGAGGAATGCATGTCTTTTGCTTTTCCCTTTTTGACGAAACCCTCATGGAAGCAGTGAGCCTCTCTCCCACAGGGCTTCGTGAAAGCCGGCTAACTTACCGGCTAACCATGTGCGGCGCATCTCCAACTGACACTTGCATATTAAACCTCGGCTGCGTGGCCCCCCAAACCGTCCATGGCTTGGACCAACATCTGCTCTCTGGGAGACAAGCTCCTGGGATGCGAGCGCAAGTACAAATACAGGAACATGGATCTGCCCAAGTGGCATATGGTCCCTGTACTCATGTATGCATGCTACTCTTTGTCTGTCCAGCTGATGTGGTTCGAATGCAATTTCTGAGCCACACGCAGTTGCTCAAACACAAATCCGCGCAATGCCGCAAGGCGGCTGCGGCTGCGAGCTCGCAGAAGCCGGCGGCCCCCTGGGCGATGTCGGACATCTCTCGCCGGGGTCGCTGTGCTCGCCATCGAAGAGTCTCTCGCCCGCTGCAAGGATCAAAGGGGCACTGCGGTGGCCACCTCAACAGTAAAACCTCCTACGTGCTGCGCCAGTGCGGGCCGCTTTCTGCACAGGCCTGTTGACTTGCAAAATGGTCAGGCCAAGCCACGTGTTCCGGCAGACCTCTTGAGCGGTCGCTCGCTCATGCCGAGCGCAGAACGCCATCAGCCAAATCTTAATGAGGCCGTTCTTGCTTTGGCTGCTATTCTGAAGACCTTTCATCTCACGTACTTCTCACCAAACATCATGGCATCAGGTTTGCCAACCAGATGCAGCCAAACGAAACACGAACTTAGACTAACTTAGAGTTGGGTAGACTTGCCGGTGCAACACTTCATTGTTCTTTGTCGGGCCATGTGTGAAACCTGAAGCGCAGCGAGATATCACGTAAGCACATGGAGAGCAACAAGTCAACACTTTCCACCAGCCAGATGACAAGTCGGAAATTCTTGAAGGACACCTATGCAGATTTCTCCGGTGGCAGAACCAGGCGGGTCCGAAAGTGCCTGTGGATTGTGACGGCTATGAGTCGGTCTCCGCCCAGACTTTGCAGGCAAAGAACGGGCTCTTTGTCTACGCTGCGGGAGCATAGCACGAGCTGCTGACTCACGCTTTTCGGAAATCTTCAGAACCGGACAGCCTTTCTCAGCGCTTGCAAACCTTCGCAAGTGTCGCCAATCCAAAGCACTTCCGCTCGAGCGGACAAGCGGAAAAAAGAGAGAAGGAAGCTAGAGGCAGAGACAGTCAAAGAGAGCGAGAGAAAGAGACAGACAGAGTGAGAAAGACAGGCCGGTGCAGACGCTTCTGAAGCTCTGGCGTTCGTTTGCTTTCCTCGCTCGATCGCGAAGCCTGACTGGGTCAAGCAGGGCGTAACGTTTTCAGACGGTAGCATCGCAACTGAATACGGACGGACAGTGGGGACCAAGCTCTTCCATTGCCGGCAGCTTCGTCGCATTTACCCGAACGCTCTCCACCTTGGTTCTCCATGATCCAAAAACAGACAGAATAAGGGAAAAGCCATTTATCGTCTCACGGGTCTTCCTTCGAGCTGGCGACACTTTGCAAGAACGTCTCCATGCGTCCTGCAACCTGAAGGCTCAGAAATCGATACGTAACGGCCCACCCACATCCATGCAGGATTCCTCGGCTAGCTGGAGAGACGTCTCTGCATCGCAGAAGTTGGCCTCCACCTTCCAAGTCGGCTGTAAGGACCCGTGCTGCTACGTACTGATCCGGGGCATGTGCTCTTTTGGCTAGCGACGTGATCTTGGCCTCTGCCTTTCCAGGTCTTGCTTGACAATCCCCGACTGTACACGGTACCTCTGAGACTCGTATACGTCGTAGACATCACTCCAAAAGAGGGGAGGAGCAAAGACCACGCGATGCGAGGAGGGCCTGGGTTAGCTCTTCAGCCTGCTCCCGCATCCATCGGGTGCCTTCTTCCGCCTTGGCTCTAAAGCCAAGAGCTCCGACTGGCTGCAGAGATCTGTAATCTGCGGCTCCGAAGCCGGGTACTTGGGAAGCGGCAAGATGGAATCCCTCCCGGAAAAGCAGCAAAATGGAACTCGATGGTCGCGGCAAAACCACGGCTCCCCACTCGTGGCGACTCGACATGAAGATGTCAAGGCTGCCACAATTCTTTGTTGCTGCCACTCTTGTCCAACACATCCTCCCGACTGGCCTTGGCAAAAACAGGAGAGACACTTCCACTGTCTGACTACACAATTCTTGGTTGCTAACCGTCTTGCCCCTGGATATGAGGCGCAGCTCAGACCTAGAAGTGACATGAGGCTAGACTGCTTGGGACAGAATGAAAGTGAGCCAAGGACACGACGGTGGTATTCCTGGCGGTAGCATCTGTGCGGCAAGATAATCAGCAATGTCACCAAAGGTCACCTGTTTCACATGCAAATAATGTGCGCCATGTAAGCGTTCCAAAGACTGTCGCACAACTCTTGCGCTCTTGCCTCGTGCAGCCCCTTGGTCAAACGAATTCGGTAACGGTTTTGCCTCAGAATCGATTCCAAGCCATCCATATGCAACAAGGTGTCAAAGAGTAGGAGGCCACCCAAAGGCTGCGCTGAGACATGAGCCCCTGCCGAACCAGCACCGACGCCGCAATGGCCTCCACACGAAGTGGTCGAGCAATCGAAAGCAAAAACTTCCAAGTTGTTCCGAGGCAGCTTCGAGACGGCATCGTTTCTCTTCAACTGTTTCCGCTCCCTCTGCGACCCTGCTAATGTGTTTGTGGAATCTTGCCATGCTGAAGCCTCGTCTGCGAGATCTTGCGGGCCTGCAAGCAGGTCCGATTTCCGAATTTTGTAGAACAGCACCTCATTATGCCTCCAAGAACGCCTTCGAGAATCACCGGCTCCTGTGAGCCCTGATCATGAAGTTCACGGTGGCGACAGCTTCAATCTGACCGTGCGGACCATACATCCTGCCTCATCCAGTATTTCCGTACCGGCTGCTGCTGCTGCACTTGGTGCAGCACCGGCTGCCTGCGCTTCTCCCTGCGTGCTTTGCGCCTTATTTCTTGCGGCTTCAGTGCTTCTTTTGAACAAGCCGTGTCAAATGCACCTTGCAACAGCGGCACCGCAAAGCTGAGTTTGTTTCTGGAGGCGGCGGCATTGCATAACCGGGCACGAGCCTGGGTGGTGCTTCCTGGCAACTCCACAACACGTGGCGGCCAAGCTGCTGGCATGAGCATCAGCTTGGATTTTGCACCAACACCAGCTGCAGCCAACCTGAAATTTCCACAAAATGTTCTGCTTTCACGGCTGATTGCTCGATGGGAGCCCGGCGTCTCTTTGTCATCCTTTCTTTCTTTGCCGTTGCACAACAATCGCTGCCTTACGTCGTCGGCGAAAAAATCTAGCCATAACTTTGTACACATGTGTTCACACATGGACGGGCGCAATCCTCCCTTCGAACTTGTTATGCGTCTTCCAAATTCCTACTTTGCAAGGGGGAAACGATACACACATGTGTAAAAAAGCTGCGCAAAATAGAATGCTCTTCCGGCTCATTGAGGCAAACCCTCGCTAACGCGATGGAGATGCATTCACTTCCTACCGGCTGGCAACGTGGCAACCTGGATATGAAACCACGTACCCAACCGCCATGATAACCCTTGCCCGGCGAGTGTCTCACATAGACAACATAGAACATCATACTGTAAGAGCACTGTACTGAAGAACGTTTCCCTGGCGCACACACAAGCAAGAGAGGACTCTTTTTGCCGCCAAATCCAAGATTTCGGTTTCGGGGCAAAGGCAGACGAAGGGCCAGAAGGAGCATGCCACCGGTTTATGTCTTCATACATACTAATCCCCAATAGAAGCATACAGCATAAATATACAGCGTTCTGCAGATGCAGCCGCACTTCGTCAGGACTGCATCTGCTCCGTAACAGTCACATACTCCACGTGAATTGGCTCGAAGTTAAGTTCCAGTATGTTTGTATTCTTGCGGAAGCGCCAGAAGTACACAATGCGCCAGGGAGCACTTTTTCTCAACGGACTCGGCTGCTGCCCTTACTGCCCAGCTTGACCCACAAGACAGTACTCATGACTGCAATGCGACCCATGGCGCTGAAGGTACAAGCACGACCACATTCTCTTGGCACCCTAAGCGCCGTCCTGTTTTCAGGATGCTGCTGGGTGCTCAAACCACTGCAACCAACCTTTACCCAGACCTCTTCCGCTCTAGCTGCGTATCGTGGGGGAGGCATCAACACGCATTGCTGAGGCCCAGGTGATGTTGCAGACCTGGTGATTGCCAGTTCCGGACAACAGGCCACGGCCGAGAAAGGAAAATCTGAGCTTTCGTGCAGTTATATTGGCCTATTGTCCTGGCTGACATGCGCAGACCCCAATCAGAAATAAAGAGATTGTGCATTTCTTGTTGTCTAGCTCGATTCGCCGAGCACTTTCTGCACTTTGAAGCAAACTCTGCCCTCAGGCCGCCAGGAAACCCGCAGGAATGCATCGCCTTGGTTGGGTTCTTCAGCTGCAGGAGTTCACATGGCATTTACTCGCCACACACGCCCAGACCGAGCCCTGCTCCTGGTGCCCTTGCAGGAGCTTTCCAGAGCCCTCATTTCAAGCCTCCAAGTAGAACCGGCTCCTCATCCCTGACCACGGCACCGCATTCCTCAAAGCCTGGTCCAGGCAACAGCCTTGGTCAGGTTGGTAGGTCCTGCTAGGTCCACTACATATCCAGTGAACACAGCCCCCGCAGAAATTCAAGAGGTAGAAAGGCGCTTCTCTAGCAAAGCTTGGCATACGCCTCCGATGCCTGCAGGAGGCTTGTGGCTGACAATGTATGCTCCCGGGCGCATCTTCCGCGCCTGTGCCGCCACAGCCTAGGAGAAGTCAGAGTGGGGCATGGCAACCTGCACTCCTGCGAGGCATGCCTCCATCATCGCGGGGCTAAAGACCACGGAATTGGCCCAGACCATGTCCTGCAGAGGCATGCTTGCCTTACGCCATCATGCCAGACGGAAAGGGGTTCGTCTGCCGTTACATCGTGGTCCGCATCCGAGAAATCGAAATCCAGAAAGCTGGCGAGGAGGAAACGAGGCTGGAGTGGCTGCAAGCCTGGCCCCAGTTTCGTTCCCTACAGTGGTTCAAGGTGCAAGGCTCAGGGCGTTTTGCTTTCCCAAGATTTCGCAGAATTGAAGGAATGCGAAAAGGCACACGACCTTCAGAAAAGTGCATGGTGGCCTTCCAATGCGGCATCTGCCTGCAAAGGAATCACAGGCCAGGCAGCACTTGCAGTGGAGAAGTTTGCGATGCTAGGTCCTCCGACTATATCTTCTGCGCAAATTACCGTTTGCCGAACCATCACACTCCGATTCTATGCTGTTAAATGTGCCACTGGCCTGAACCCGCAGCATGGCCTTCGCTGCACTACCTGAACAAGGCGTGGTCAGTTGTAGGCCATCCAGCGATTGTGCAAAGTACTGCTTAAAAGCAAAACGGCAGCCGCTGGCCATGTCCATCTGCCCATCGCAACAGTTCGCGAGAATGCTCTGGCTCAACCAAGCCAAGCGTCATGCTCTGTGGTGGCGTCCAGGCTCCAGCTCAACACCAGTTGCTTGGAAACCCAGAACTGCAGCTAGATTTACCTCAGCCCGAGCGACTTGGAGCGATCTTCCGCACCAGAAGCTTGATCTTCGAGCAACTTGCCAACAACACTCGCAGCTTGTGACCGGATCTCGGCCCCAAGCGAGCTTCCCCGTACCACTTCCAAGGTCCTCAGCCAATCTGGACGACTTGCCCCCGACATCATCCAGCCATGTAGACACTGGGATACGCTGGGTTTGGTTGTCAAGTCACGTAAACACGTGCTGGAGGGAGCAAGTGGTCTTTCAGCAGCTCGGCAAAATCTTGCTCGTTGACCTCGCCTCAGAGAATCAATCAATCCACTTCTTCGACCGCCAGCATCGACCCCCTGAACTTACAAGCAGTGCCGAAACGAGTCAGCTTGCAGCGAGGAGTCTAGTGAGTCTAGTTACCAGAAAGTGCAGCCTGCAATCATTGAAAGAAAGCGCTGCAACATCACAGGTCAGCCGGTGCCCTGGTTGGTTGGGCACCCAGTCGGTGCACTCCCAGTGTTCACAGACATGTGCACTTCTGCTCCCTCTTCGAGGACCGCAAATTCCTCGACCCGGGCGCGTGGCACAAGACGAGTCTGCCGGCCGTTCGTTGCTCAAGTATCCACTTGTTGCACCAGAACTCCCGAGGGCTCAGCCAGAAAGAAAACTCGCGCATCCACTAGTTCATGAACCACTATGACGTCGACCGAGCCGCCGTACAGGGCGGAGTTCGTAAATCCGTTGGCGTTCTCCACTGCTAGGTATCCTCAGACCATGCCACATGCATTGCCTCCTCTTCTCGTATCTCTCACTCTATCCTGCTGTCTCTCGATTTCTCACTAGTTCGATCCGGACAACAACCTGGCACTTTCTGCCTATATGTCATTCGCTTTGCTGTCTAACGCTTGAGCCTCTTTCGACGTATCGGGCGTATTCGTGCCTCGTTACCGCCCTCGGGCGACCACGCAAGTGACACAAATCGCTGAACCATGCTTGCTTGCTTGCTTGCTTGCTTGCTTGCTTGCTTGCTTCTTTTTTCCCACCACGGCCCACTCTGTCTGTGTCCGTTGCTCTCGGCTCAAGGTTCGCCAAAACAGCAAACAGTCCGAGGCACCTCCTCCTCTGTCTTTCTTTCTGTTGGGCTTGGGGGCGGGACCGTCCAGCGTCCGCGCCATGGGCATGCCCAACCACTCAGGGGCTCCGAACTCCAGAAAGGTTCGTTGCCCGAGGCCCCCACCCTCCCAGTCTGCTGCGTCGTCGCCGAATCCAGTTCCAGCATATGCACGCGAGAGTAGACTGAGCGGGACCTGCGCTTGGCTTCGACAGCACCAGGTGCACATCGAAACAACTGCTACTATGCCGACGTAGCTTAACGACCGGAGTGGCCTGGAGATCGCCAGCACATCCACGACATCTAGATGGCGCATCCCAGTAAGGCCTGATCTGACCAATGCGAAGCATCCTGGATTGCAAGAGTGCCCGCAGACAAGCGACTTGTCATCTTCCCCTTCGAAAGCTACCTGGTCAGGCATCGGGCGGCAACAAAGGCAGACCCCAAGCTGAGCATCCAAGATTCCAAGCCTCGTCGGCCATCTGCGGCTCCTGCGTTTCCTGCGGTACCTGTGCGAAGCAGGTGCGTTGGTGACAGTCGCACGTGGTTCACACGCCAAGGTACACGGATCACGATTGTTCGGGAAAGAAAGCTTTTGAGAGCAGGCGGCCGACTTTGCCGGCTTCCGATACCTTCGTCATATCCGTGGCTTTGCGTCGTTCAGCTGCCTTTCTTGTCGGTGTGGGAGAGAAAACGATCACAAGCCACAACCCAAAGGATGTAGGTCGCGATGAAAATTGACGCACATGAAGCATAGAGTCCTCCCATGCCGTATTCGTTCAAGATGTTGATGCCCATGGCTGGGGTCACAACCCGAGCCGCTGAAAAAATGCAGTGCTCCATGCCTATCAAAGTACCCTTCATGTCCTCCGGGACCAGCTGCGTGTTCTCGGCTGTGATGCTGGTTGCCAAGCTGTACTGAAATATCGACAGAAGCAAGGCAATAGCAACGAAACTGCATTGGCGAACGACTGGTTGCATGAGATACGAGATCCCTGCGACATCAGAATTCAAGAAAGCTTGGAAGCAATAACCGATTGCCATACCCACGATGCAGTTTCGCACCACGAAGCGTGGCGCACCCCCGAGCAGCTTAGTGACCGGACCAAGCAGCACTGCGTTTGAAAAGGCACCGAAAGCAAACTGCGCGGACATAAAGAAGCCCAAATCAGCCTCGGCAAATTTCAGTTCGTTCTTCAACACCAAGCTTTGAGTGGCAGAGGCCATGGAGTTTGAGGTTGAAGTGATGAGCTTCACCATGCTCAAGAAGCCAGCTGCTTTGAGAACGATGCAGATCCGTGCGACCCAGGGTAGCTGCTCGGACTCCTTTTTTTTCGACTCCCCGTCTTGTTCGCTCTGGTCTGCTGTCCTTTTGGCACTGCTGGGTAGCAAAATGCTCCCTGCTGCTGCAAGGATGGAGCCGAGCATGGCAAGTTTCGCACTCAGGAAGTAATCGCCCTTCGCACCCAGAAGTCCTCCGCAGTATGGTCCGACGATGCCACCAAGTGTGTAGGCCGTTGTCAGACGCCCGAGGGCCTGGATGCGCTCCGGACCGGCTGCAGTTAACTCACTGACCGCAGTCTGCGCACACAGGAAGCCAGCCATTCCGATCCCAGGAATTTTAGAGGCATACAGCATGGCCATGGAGTCAGTGATAGAGAGTAAGAAATAAGTGGCTGCGCACGCCATGAAATTGAGAACGAATCCAACACGAACACCTGCCTTGTCAAGTATGTGACCAAACAAAAGTGAAGCAAACATCTGAATGCCTGAGAAAAGAGATTGCAAGCGTCCGTAGGACACGCTGGCCTCTGATGCATTATCCTTGCCAACAAGCCGTTCCACTAAGAAGGGTTCCAGTGGAGCCTGCAGCTGGTAACACAGGGCATAGAAAACCACCAGGCCGTAGACCAAATACAGGCTCGCCGAAGGGCTGTGCATGGCATCAGGTTTAATCGACATCAAGACGTTTCTCTCAAGCAAGGAAGGACCACGCTTTCCACTCGTTCTTGAGCTTGAACCTGACCGACGGCAGGATTTCCCTGTTGGCGAGATCTTGCGTGGCAACGGACATGCTACAGCTGCGGCATGCCAAAAACATGTTGCGGAGATACAAGCGCTTTGTGATTTCTCTTGTCACATCTGCACTCAGCAACAAACCTGGCAGGCCTCTGGCGAGGGCGCTAGCGGAGCTTCGTCGTCTCTGCGCCTCTCTGCATCGAGGCTCGGATGGATGCTTTGCTACTTTCATTGTTCTCCAAGCTACCAAGTTTAGTTTGGCATGTGGCAGAGAGCGGGCGGGCAGGAGAGCACTGGCGTGAGCTGCCGGTCCCCGTGCCCCTGGTCTGCCGGCAGCCACCGCTCATGTGTATTGCTGCCTGTGCTCCGACTCGGCAAGCCCTTGTTCTATCAGCGCATGCCGTCTGCACCTGGTAAGCCGTGCATGTAACAGGCGCCAATGCACACCTGAAGCCCGTAAACTCCAACATACTATGCTAACGCCATCAAATCAGCTGTTATAAACAACCTTCAAAAACTTAGAACTTAGATTTCAACGAAGCTCTAGAACACATGAAAACATGTCACATTCAAAAAAAACATTCGATGCTCTCTCCAACACAAATTACTAAAGCAATCTAGACCACCAATGATGACGACAACAACGGTACGACATGCAAGCAGCAGCAGAAGCAGCAGTAGCTGGAAGAGGGGGAAGAGGAAGGATAACAATCATCCCCCCCAGCTTCATGCAAACCAACCGCACAACTATGCTGGTCATCGAGCATAGCACCCACCCCTCCCCAAAGATTCCTTGCCCTTAACACAAGAAGAACCAAGTAAAAAGTTCACGTTTATTAACTTTGTCGTCAAGCATCAAGAGCTGAGTTCGATTTCATCGTTCTCTTCGTGAGAAGTGTGGCGCTTGATGGTTATACAAGTCTGCACGATGAATGCATAACGGCACATAACACTGGAACCACAAAGAAAACAAACAAACATCTAACTTTCCGAACCAGGGTTTCCAACTGAGCGGCGAACCTGCGCCCGCACATGGAGCCCATGGCAGTGGAACATGTGCGACAAAGCGGAAATGAACTCAAGAGCTATCGTTGCTTATGTGAATACGAAAAACACAGCTTGGAGACCCAGCCGTCACCCCGCTTCCCTACTTCGGCTAGCCTGCAGTACAGAACGCGAGTCTGAACTTTGTGTCATTGCACATGGAACCTCTCATCTATCGACAGCTGTGTGCAACAAGGCATTGCACACACATCTGCCTCACCATGGCCCTGCACTCACACATGCATGCACTGACACTGACAGCCACGTCTTCCGTTGTCCGGTCTCGGGCTTGGGCTTGTCAGGCGGCACGGATGTCTCTGCCTGTGTTGCACGCTGTACAGTACGGCAACATTGGTAACAAATGAACAAAGCCGTGAACAGCCTCGATGTGTTGTTTCACCTTGGAGCTGGGAGGTTCACGGACAAACGCAGCTGTCTCCCGTCGTCGCAAGCTCAGCCTCTGCAAATGTCATCGTCGCTGGGCATTCTAACAGTACCTGCACCGCAGAGTGCGTTCTTAAAACTGCGAACCCCAAAATTGCAATTCCAACGCCTTTCTCTTGTCAGGCGTTGAAATGCTCAGATGTATCATGGCAGCACTGCAGGTATGTTAACCGTGGAGTCTGATTTTATGAGAGAGAGGCGTGTCCGGAAACGACGGGCTGATCCCTACACTGTTTTTGTGCGGTTTGTTGTGTACGAAATGATACATGTGGCCAGCATCCAGCGGTGCAGCAACGGTGGGTCCGCTACAGCCCGCATTAGCTCCCTGCGGCAAGAATGCATGTCGTCCTGTAACGCCATGAGCATGTCTACGCCACGAACCAGCATAACTCTCGCATGTTTGCAACAAGCTGAGACCAAATGCGCTCTGAGCTCTGTTTGGAAGGCACGAACTGCCAACACGAAAATTGAATGAAGCGGTGAAACATAGTGAGACATGTCAGACGAATATCTCCGCACTTGTGTTGCGGGCCAGATAGCTCACCAAGTCTTTGAGCACGCGCGCATCCGACAAAATTCCGAAGTGTGAACAATTGGGAAACCTACGTGTTGACACCAATGGCGACTGCGGCCATACTTTCTCAACCTGAACCAGAGACAACAAGTTGACCAAGCCATCGCCATCGCCATACCTCGTCTTTGTCGCAACCTTGTCGAAGCCTTCGACGATGTCGCTGTCAAACACCAAGGACTCTGCCGTTCGAATGCCCGTAGAATACCAATTCTGCAGCGGTACGTTCTTCGGGGCATGCTGGAGCTTTGCGAATGGTTTCTGCAATTTGGCAAACAGCGATGCCGTCTGGTTTCCCCCAGCCTTGACACCGATTTTACGCAACATGTCGGGAACATCTGCAGCTGTGTAATTGCGGGATGGGGTCTCCACCAGGACAGCTGTGCCGAAAGCATCCGGATGTGGGCTCATCCACACGCCGCCTTGGACGCAAGCTTATCAAGTCATACAGCCTTTTGTGCGCCATGTCGAAGTCTTGCCATCAGCGACGAAACTAAAGCAGAAAATTTAGAAAAAAACAAATAAATTCACAGGATGGGTGCTGCTCGCGTTGACTTGAACGCGCTGCACATAATCATGCGGTACCAACCAGCTGGGCAAGCCCAAGGTCCAGCCACCCAAGTAAGCAGCTATTTGGGTTGCTCCGCCCATCCATGGGCCAGACAAAGCAACCCAACCATGAATGTGCTGGGCTCGCCAATCTTCACTCACATAGCTGTTGAAAAAGGCGAGCATGGTGGGACATCCTGCAAACAGGACTAAGTATGAACTGAGCATGAGGCGACCCTGTGACTTAACGGTACTTGCATTGATCCGATGTGAAGAGAGTCCTAATGAATGCGACAGCACAACTGCTCGTTCTCCACTTGCCTGGCAAACGCGCCATCCATGACCACCAAACATAGTTGAACATGGAGCTGTGTAGAATCACTGGGGTAGGGGACCTAGGGCGTCGGGTGGACGAGAGTTTTGGCGTGTCCGTCGTTGTTGAATGTAAAAGCCACGGCCACACCATGGTAGTGAAGCCCGGCGCAGTTCAACCTGCGCTTGCGGAGCGAGGCTGCAGCGACGTGCCTAAATATCGCCGCGCGCATGGACCAGGCCCGGCGACATTTGTTGCATCGATCCGGAAATCGAGCTCAATTCCGATAACCCAGGTGGCAAGTTTTCTGGCACGACCGAGCACGTGTGACGGCCCTGCAGCTGCTGCAGCCACAGCCAACTGAACGGCAACTGCTAGGCAAAGAAAGCCCGTTGTGCGAAATGCTGGGCGAAAGCCGAATCTTGCACGAACAGGATCTCAGCAGCTTCTTTCTGTATCGCCACGCGAAACATGTTTTCCTTTTTTACATCGGACCTGTTTGCACCCTCGTGTTTTGTCGCACTTACCGGATGGACGCCTGCTCAGGTACCAATCGTGCAGGTAACACATGGGCGGGTCTCGTACGACGATGCCATGCGATGCATCAGGTGCCGTCTGAGCAAGTCCTTGTGGAAGCATGCCCAGTTGATAAGGCCGAAGCATGCCCGCAAGGAGGTTCGGTCCTTGAACAACCGTTTACGGTCAGTATGCACATAAGAAAACAGCGCCTGGTGCATTGACCGGCAAAATCCACTAGACATACGAGTTTAACGCATAAGTGAAAATGCCTCAGAGATAAAAGGCTGGGCTATTGCGTCCGCAAGCCTTCACACAAGGATCTGGCGGTTTGACAGATGGCTGCCACATAATGCACATGGGCACTGACAGCAGTATGATTGCTTGTCACGAGAAGGGGATCAAAGATCCACCGCAGCAACTCAGCATCACCAAGCGCTGAGTGTCAAACAGCGGATAACAGCGGACACACGCGAATGGCATGCAGGAACGTGCTTCGGGGAGCACCGCACAGACACTCGGGACCATGCCGCTGAGCGTGCCGGGCAATCCTGCCATCCTGAAAAGGATGATGACCACAACGCGCTGACGTCCACTCCCGAAGCACGGACGATGGGAGCCGCGAGGAATGAATGTTGTTGCCACCGTGCAAGCGAGGCTGAAACACAGCATAGTCTGCGAGGGACGGCATTGCCATCAATTCCCCACAATACTGTGACTGAGCACGATGTAGCAACATCGGTCGCACGGCATGCCGACTCCAATGCGCTACCTGCCTTGCATCCCCACCAGGCACCAGGCTCCATAAACGGGGGAGTGGTGTACCAGCATCCCGCAATCCTTGCGAAACACCATGCGCCCACGAACCCGGGCGCTGCAAAGCAAATCTGAAGACACGTGCTGCGAGGCTGCGACGAGCACCAGAGACATCAGCAGTAGCCAGGCGTCCGAAGAGACCAAACTGCAACCGTTGCACTTCAAACACATAAGGCCACCAGCTGAGCTCACCCAGAACTGCCGCATTCGGTGCACCGCTGGGCCAGTGCAGCAAGCGACGCCCCCATTGGCGAAGCTCTTGGTCCAAACGAGCTAATTGCCCAGAATCAAGAAAATGTGCTCCGTAAAGGATGGCGGGCAGGACATACGTTTGAAACAACTGGCTACGGAAGCCTGTGTGCAGTTGGCGATTCTCAGCCCAACCCAGAAATTCGTGGAATCTGCGATTGCCGGTGTCCATAAGACGAGCTGCATGCTTATGCCACTTGCGCGATGCTTCAAACGTCACGCCTAGGTACGTGTACTGGCGTACACAAGGCAACAGAGAGCCTTGAAGCATGAAGCGATACTCAATCGACCTGGAACCGACAACCATGACGGCTGACTTATCGGGGCCTATGCCGAAAGAGAAACGCCACCAAGAACCCCAAGCCCCCATTGCATCTAAAGCTTTTTGAAGCTGACCAGCATCCGCAGCCAAGTCGTCAGTGTAGAGCAAGTGCCGCATACCGGGCAGCGCTCAGTGATAC